GGACCTTTTCCAGGCTGGATCCCAGCGCTGCGTAAGGGCAGGGGCACGGCGATCCCGAGGGAGGGAGAAGCACCGGGATTCGCCTGCGGGTTTCGGGGAGCCGGTGTGGGCGGCGAGGGGGTGTCTGTACTGGGCAGGGAGACAGCAGATCACTGGATTGTTTTCCCTTTCCCGTGAACTCCTGCACCCACCGGCTTTACCTTCTCTGAAGAGCTCTGCACTCTGACTGTTTTTATGCCACCTGTAGTTTGGGACACTTGGGATGGTGATTTTCCTGCATAAGCAGCTTCTTGCTGAACAAATTCCTTTAAGAGGGTGACAGTGTGAGCTGCTAGAAAGTGTTTTCCTCACTGTGCCAGCACTGGAAGTGGCTCTTGGAAGGGAAACCTCTGTGTCACCTGTGCCTGGAGCCCAACCTTATCTTATCCCGTGTTCCTGAACTCCAGACCTGTGTCCCTGATGCATCTGGGAGCCAGGATGGAGCGAGATCTGGAAAAGGGAGACAAGGCAGCTGCTGTGATGTTTCCTCTGGGGCTGAGGATGCTCCTCACAGCACCCAGACCCTTCCTGGAGCATCCCAATGCCAGTGCTGTGTCCGGGACTGTCTGACCCAGGAATTGTTCCTGGCGGTGGCCATGAGGGGGAGAGAAAACTGGGAGGGGACCATGCAGCACTTCCAAGTTCTCTCCAGCCTCTGGTTTTTCTCATTTTAGGGGATTTATGTGTGTTTGGTGATGTTGGAGGGGTTCTGATGCCCTCGCCTCGAGCAGGGGGTGCCTCTCCCTGATCCCTGTGTGGTGCCCCTCGGTGTCAGCCCCGCTTAGGGATAAATCGGCTCACCCGGATTAAGCAGTGCAAGAACTTGGGGATTTAAGGGATGACGTGAGGGAAGCCAGAGCAGGCTGAGCTCTGGAGAGGGATGCTCCAGATTGAGGCAGAGCCCATTTTTCCAGCACGCGAACAGGGCGGGTGAAGGCTTTGGTGCCTCCATGATACGAGTTTTGGCTTCAGGGCAGCGAGGCATCACCTGGCAGAGGGGGTCCGAGGAATCAGGCAGGGGAAATGCCTTTTAGTGTGATGCCAAAGGATAGTATTTTGGTGCTTCTTGTCAGTAGGGTCTCCCTTCCCTTCCAGACACATCCTTTGACCTGAGCTCCTAAATCAACCTCTGCATGTTCATCCTGTCCCAGCGGTGCTCAGACTCTGGAGCTGTGCCGGTGGCTCTTTGCCAGCACCAGCTGTGGGGATCCAGGAGCTGGTTCCCAGCCTGTTCCCAACCACATGGCACCAGGAGCTGTGTTTGGTTCTCCTGCACCCCCATGTATGTGCTGCATGTTGTGGGAGCATCCCCACACCTCCAGCCGGGATTCAGCCTGGCTTCATCACATCCAGACAGTGTTTTGGGCAGGCCCCAGGCTGTGGGGGCTCATGTGGCTTCAACTCTCAGCCCATTTGGGCACGGCTGTCGGGGTTCAGCACCCCCATCCTGGCACTCCCCGAGCTGGGGGGGTGTTATTTCCAGGAGTTTCCCTTCACATGATCCCCTTGGAGCAGGAGCAGGGTGTGTCTAGGGACGTACAGGTGGCGAAAGAGCCACTCTCTGAGTGTAGGAAGTTTGGGTTGGCTTCTGTGCCCAGGCTCTGCCGCAGTGCCGTGGCATTATCCCCGCAGGCACTGGGATATGCTCCAGCTCCGCACTAATCCTGCCACCCTGCCTGCGCCCCACCTGCTCCGGCATCACCCCCTGCCTGGTGAGCTGAGCGCTTTCCCTGGAATCATTTCCTCTCCATAGGCCTGTGGCCGTTTGCTGGCTCGGCCGTGCCGCTGGTCCCCTGGGATCGCTTTGGCTCCCGCTGCCTCAGCAATCTCCGGCGAAGCGTCACCTCGGTGGCCTGCCAGGTGATAACCTCCCCGCGGCGCTGGGCCCGTGTTTACTTTACCTGCCGCGGCCGATAATCGCCTCTGATAACATTCCCGATGGTAAACACCCTGCTGGAACATGAGGGAAGCGACTCAAAGGAGAGAGCTGGTGCCTGGCAAGGGCTCTGCCTCGGGACAAGGAGGAGCAGACCCTGGCTGAAATCCCTCCCCCTGAGGAGTTTCATAGACCTGTGATTGTCCCCAGCTCAACCTGCATCCCTTGAGGAGGAGAGGCTGTGCTTTGGACAGATTTATCTGAGGGAACAGCGGCTCCTTGGCTGCTTGGTTGCGAGCACTAGGGAGTTCCTGGCAAAAAAATGCCTTTTTTTTTGTGTCCACGTGACTTGAGAAATTGCAGAAATATTCTTGCTGTCCTTGAGCAGCAGATCCCGACGTCTCTGTGCGGGCTGGGATTGAAGAGAATAGATTTTAGAGCCCCAAGCCCCTCTTGCCCTTTCCCTCGGGGGCTGACAGCGTCTCCTTGCAGTGCCACGCCGATGCATGAGAAGGCAGCTCCCCTGAAGAGCCCCGAGCCCAGGCACGGCCGTGAGAAGCTGGAGGTGTCCCACAAGCAGAAGAGTTTGGATTCCCTCGATGGCAGGTGAGGAGCAGCATCCCAAGGGCTGTGGTTGAGTGTTTTCCCTTTCCCCCATGCTGTGGGGGAGCTGCCTCTGAGCCCCTGAATCCAGTCCCCCAGCAGGGGGGGGCACTGGGGTTGTTTTCCCTCTCAGATACTGAGGGTATAAAAGCAGGGAAGGGAAAGGGATATGGGGAAGGCAATGCTGTTCCCACGGCTGAGGTTGTTGGGAGGATTTTGCTCGCTCCGTGGTTTGTCCCTTCATCTGCCCATGGGATGGATGTGGCTGGATGTCCCCATGCATGGCCAAAGCCGAGTCCATCCTCCTGCCCAGGCACATTCCCAAATTCCTGTGTGTGCTTTCCCTCAGGAAGCCATAACCCAGCCAAAGCTGCCCATTTCCAGCTCCCAACCTGTCCCAGACTGCTGCTGGGGCAGCTGTGGTCTCCTTCCTGGAGCTGGGATGTGTTTTGGGGACACTGCTGGGGCAGCTCAGGTCTCCTTCCTGGAGCTGGGATGTGTTTTGGGGACAGTCAACCCTGTCCCAGTGCCTCCATGTCTCCCATCAGAGCTCAGCCCTCAGCAGCCGTTACTGAGCCTCAGCAACACCCAATGCCACATCACATCACAGAGATGCCCAAAATGTGGCTTCCTGGGATCTCTTTACATGATTCCTTGTCTCATCTTGCCCCACACGTGTTTAGGGAGCAGGCAAGAGACCTGGGGCTCTTCCTTACCTGATGATTATTATTTTTCCTTCCAGCCTCCGCCTGAACGAAGCCCTTAAGGATGAGGACATCAAGAAATGCCACCGGGAAGTGGTGAGTCTTTGGCTTTGGGAGCGACTGGGCTGGTTTGTTGTCCCTGGAGGAGCCTGCCTGTTGTCCCTGGAGGAGCCTGCCCGGGGTCTCAGCTCAAGGAGCCGGAGACAGCTGCTCATGTGGGACAGAGGCTCCTGCCTGCAATGTCAGGGCAGCTGGTGATGGTTTTGTGTGGCCTGTGCTCTGCCTTGCAAACACTTCATGATTTTCCATCCAGAGCAAAGGAAAAAGTGGAAAGGTTGACTGGGAACAGCTCAATTTCTGTCCGTTCAAACCTTTTTGGTTGTTCAAATCTTACCCAAAGCAGAGTTTTTTTGGTCCATCTACAGACAAGAGATGCTCGGGAAGAGGAAGGAATAACGGGAAACAGTGTTTTGCCTTTCCCCATGAAGAAAATGGGGGGGAAAAATATTTTTCTGGTTATCCAGAGGCACCTGGGAGAGTGACAGGGTCAGCAGTGAGTCTGTGCTGGGGCCAGGAGGTGTTTCTTGGTGGTGGTTGGAGGTGATACCCCTCGTGTCCCCCTGAAACGCTCCCACCGGCACCCCCACCATGCCGGCGTCTCTCCGGGAGGTGTCTGAGCCAACTCCAGGTGATGCTGAGCCTTGATCCTCTTAGGGCCCGGCTCATCCGGTGACAAGGTGCACGGAGCGAAGGTGACCTTGTCCCGCGGGCAGGAGGGCTCTGCCTGCGCTGCTGCCCACAAACCAGCCTTGCTGTGCCAGACTTCCCCGCGTCCTGGCAAAGCAACTGGTCCCTTGGAATCCGCCGCGTCCCTGGGGAGCACCCTGAGGGCAGGGGGCACAAATCTGCCGCATGGGACCGGGTCGAGCGGATTTATGGGAAGCGTTGGAGGGCTTTGGAGCTCTGCCTTCCCCACAGAAGTGTCTGAGGGCCGCCGTGCCGAGCCTCCCGCCGCGGTGCCGGCAGGCTTTGAAGCGGTGCCGGGAATATAAATAGCTGGATGGCGCGTCGCGATGGGCGCAAAGCAAGTGCTGTCACCGTGTCCCGGATAAGGGGAGAGGAGGAGGAGAGAAACCGCTGGGCAAAATAAACTGCCTGCGGATGAGCCCGGCAGCAAAGCAGCTCCTCGCTGAGGCTCGGCAGCCTCCTTAGATACTCCGGGAAATGTTTATCTGGGAGGATGGCACAGCGTCCGCCAGGGGCTGGGTCATCTGACCTTCCTCTAACCCACTGGGCCCCCTGCCCACAGCCGGGTGGGACCCCCCTGCGCCGGTCCCGGGTGCGGGCAGGGGGAGTTCTTGTGCAGGAGGGTGATTTTTGGGTCTCCTTATCAGCAAGGTCACTGGATAACTTTGCTCTGCTCTGTTTTCAGGCCGCTAGCAAGTACAACTCCCAGTACCACAAGCTGTTCAAGGACATCCCGACGGAGGAGAGTGTGCTGAAAGGTAGGTGGCAGGGTGAGAGACAGGGGTGGAAGCGGCAGGATCTGGCACATGCTCTGCCATGGCCCTCTCTCTGCCCTGCAGTTTGCTCCTGTGCACTCCAGAGAGACATCCTCATCCAGGGAAGGCTTTACATCTCCCCCAACTGGCTCTGCTTCTATGCAAACCTTTTCGGGAAGGACATCAAGGTAATGTGGGGACCAACTCACCCCGTCCCATGGGGCTCATAGCCACATCTTACCCCCTCCTGCACCCAAATACCACCAAAATCCCTGTCAGAAGCCTCTAATGGGAAGGGGAGTGTGGCCGTGCCCCCCCTCTGATCACCTGCAGTGTCGGCCTAGGGAAACCAAATATAGGTTTGGTTTAGAATTCCCTGATGCAAAACCTCCCACCAGCCACAACGGCGTTTGAAGGAAGATCAAAGGTTTCAGGGGGGAAAGATTTGAATGTCTCTTGGCTTTTCTTCTTGATTTACCATCTGATGTTTCCCCATTAGTCTTGTGGCTGACGGGGATCTTGGGGGAGACGACTTCCTTTAAAACTGGGCTGGAGGACTGAATTATTTATACCCAATGCTTTAAACAAATATGTGATGGAGGCTCAGGGTTTTAGCGAAGTTATCCTGCCAAAAATTACATCCTGCCTTACTTTTCACCCTCCCAGGGCTTGCAGGGGGACTCTTGTGGTGGGTCTTAGGGAGACTGGGTGATGCTTGTGCCGTGCCCACCCCGTGTCCTCTTGCCCTGCAGGTTGTGATCCCGGTGGTCTCCGTGCAGCTGATAAAGAAGCACAAGACAGCTCGGCTGCTGCCCAACGGCTTGGCCATCACCACCACTGCCAGCAGGAAGGTAACACCAACACTGCCAGCACTGGATGATGCCCTGCTCCGAGCTGGGTGTGATTTGGGAGCAGAGAATGAAGAGATTCCCATCCCCGGTTAGGAAGCGAGCGCTGCTCTCCGTGCTGGCTGCCAGCCAGGGCAAACACCCTCTTGTTCCTGAATTTCACTTTGCTTTGCTTTTGTTCCTGAATTCCACTTTGTTTCTGGACGAAGCAAAGCCCAAGTGAAACTCGGCAGAGCCTGACAAATCCCTGCCAGGCTCACGTAAAACCTTTAAACTCCTTAAACACAAGCAGTGAAAGGGCTTGGACTGGCATTTAGCCAAAGCCGGTGGAAAATTTGGATACAGGGCTGAATTTCCAGCTTTTAAATCCCGTTGGATGTTGTTGGCTGCAGTGAGCTGACGTAGTGGGTCTGAGTCCTTGCCTACCTGGGTGTTGCTGCCAGCCCTGTGCGTCACCCACCCCCTGCCAGGGAGGGGGTTATTCTTGCGGGATTTTGGGAGAGGATTATTCCTGATGGATTCTGGTAGGGGGTGGCACAGGGCATTCAAAGCCATGTGTGGCTGCCCTGCACATCATCTGGGTTCTGCATTGGGCAGTCTGGCCCTGTGTTCCCCCCATCCGTGGAGATGTTTTCCATAGGTCACAGCCCTGTTTCCTGCCATGGGCTGAGCATGGGAAGGCCAGTAGGAACAGCAGCTGAGTGAAACTGGCCCCAAAAAAATCTGGTCCAGGTTTTAGCAGGCTGCAAAAATAACAGCAGGGAAGCTCCGCAGGGAAACACCTGCGGGGAAACACAGCTCCCGAAAAAGGGGAGATTCAAGGGCAGGACGTCTCTGCCTGTCCCTGCCTGTGGAGAACCAGACTCGGGATGGGGGGAATCTCTCCCAACAGCTTCTCTCTTTCTCTTGCAGTACATCTTCGTGTCCCTCATCTCCCGTGACAGCGTGTACGATGTGCTGAGGAGAGTCTGCACACACCTGCAGGTACTCCCCGTTCCACATCCAAGGCCGTTCCACACGTGCACGGCCCCGGGGCTCTGTGCTCCCCCTTGGGCTGAGCAGAGCTCTTCACCACCCATCTCCCAAGGCTTTGGAATGCTCCCAAAGTCCTCCCAGTTCCAAGTGTCCTCGCTCCGCATCAAGGGATGGGAAGAGGGGCAGGATCCATGCCCTGGGCACATCCTGTTCCCGTGGGCCTTTTCTGGGTCACGGATGAGGCAGAGCCCGGAGTTTCTGCTCTCTCCCAGGGTGTGTGTATGAATTATTTATAATCTGGTAGTAATACTTGTTCTGCCACTCCGCACATCGCTGCCTTTTGCCCAGATCTAAAGTTTTAAGGGGAGGAAAAATGGTACAAAGTAAAAAAAATTTAAATCAAGGGGGAAAAGGCACCCATCAGCCCTCGAGCTGGAGAGGGGGACTGTGGGGACCTCTTCTCTCTGCCTTTGAAACACGTGGGAAGCAGTGCCAGAGCCCTGCCCCGCCCAGGAGGGTGTCTGCCAGCTATGCCGGGCAGTGATTTGGGTGACTCAGCCCTGTTGCCAAACTGGGGGATTTATTTTTTGGAATGTGCTGGGCTCTGCCCAGATATTCCCTTTTTTTTTTTTCTCCTGATGGTTTATTCCCTGTGCTGTGAGCTGAGGCCAGTGCAGGAGCCCCCAGCTCAACCATGGCCCTGCTGGGTGTTCAGTGATGGGAAGCAGCAATGCCCTGTCCTCTGCTGGGTGCTCTTTTTCAACCCCAAAATCCCTGTGATCGCAAGTTTTAAGCAGCTGCTCTTCATAGACTCAACAGAAAAGCCAAAATTCCATTTTGTGGCTCAGGTTGAAGCAGGGGAGGCAGCACCATTAACACCCATTTGTCTCTCTTCCAGGTTTCGAGTAAGAAGAGTTTGAGTCTGAAGGAGCTGTCGGAGGAGCCGGATGCCGTGTCACTGGTGAGGGTGAGGGCAGCTCTGGGAGAGGGAAGGACCTTCCTGAACTTGTTATGTGGGGGGGAAGTACCTCCAGGCCCCCTCGAGGTCAGAGTTGGTTCTCCCCCCTCGGTGCCATCAAAGGCCGCGCCAGGACGCTCCTGTCACCTTTGGAGCTCATCCTCTGGGATCCTCATCCCCACACTTGGCAGGAACAGACGGGTCAAGAGGACCTGGCTGAGCACAGCTGATGACTTGGCCTGTTGGTCTCAGGGGTCCCTTTATAGACAGAAAAACTTCAGAGTGATGTGGAAAATGCTGCAGCTCTGCTCCTGCCAGCCAGTTCTGTTCATGGCCATGAACGTGGATGACAGGCTGGGAATGTGGTTGAGTTATCCAGAAACCTGTGGGATGGCTTGTAGCCAAACCATGGTGTGATCCAGCAAGCACAGTGGCTGCATCCTGCACCTTTGGAGCAGGGTGAACTCAGGTCTGGTGGCCCTGAGCTCGGTGCAGGAGGTGACAGGTGGGATGACCCCAATGTTTTGTTGGTCTGGTGGCATCCCAGGGGTTAAAGATTCATTTCAAGGGCTGAACTGGGAGCGATCCAGGCTTGCAGCATGTCCTGGTGCTTTGGAGGGACGTAGCCCTTCAGCAGCTCCAGCACTGGGGACTCTTTGGTGTGGGACCCCCTCTTTGTGCTGGCTGCCTCTGCACATGATTTGGTGCTTTTCTGGGGCACGTTCTGCCCTTCTGGGGCAATGCCAGGTGGAGAAATAGAGAATGCTGGGTGACCGCCCTGAGTTTCAAGGGTGGAGGAGGCTGCAGTTGGTATTTGGGGCAGGTGTGGGGTGCATGGGCAGGTCCCTCTATGGCAGTAGGAACCCGCATCCCCATGGAGCCATCACAGAGAACCAGCTCCCACTTAAGACAATGGTTTGGATGTGCTGGTGCTCACTGGAGTTGCCATAAAGTTTGAGTCTGAATCCTTGGCAGTGCCATGGGAGAACCCTCTGGCAGCGCATGGCTCAGCGGGGCTGTTCCCACAGGAGGTGATCGTCCCCGAGGGCAAGTGGAGGAAGGTGTCACCCACCTCGCTGTCACTGTCACTGCCAGATGCCAACTACCAGTGCATCCACCGGACCTCTGTCAGCAGCCTGAGTGCCAAGGAGAGCTCCTTCACCTCCGAGGAGCCCCTGGTTTCAGGTGAGGGCAGCATCTGACCATGGGTTTGTGCCCTGTTCTATACATGCTGCTGGCTGTAAACCTCTATAAATATGTGTTCATCCATCCTCCGCCCTCCTGGAGGGGAATTCTGCCTTGCAGAGGAGCAGGGCTGAGGCTGGGAGTCAGTGGTGGAGTCCTGGGGATGGGATGGGGTCTCCTGGCTGTGGGGTCTGAGCCCATGAGGGAGAAATGTTTGATGTTTCCTGGGTCCTGGAGAGCAGGAGCGTCTGCCGAGTGTTGCTGTGCCGCTGACTGTGGGTTTGCCTTTCAGAAAGTGCAATAAACACCGAGGAGGAGCTGGAGGTGGAGCAGAGCTGTGTGGCGGAGCTGAGACCTTCCGACTACCAGCTCCTGAAGATCTTCATTGTGCTGTAAGTGCCGAGGGTGGCGCGGGGGGGCCGGGGGTACACCGGGAATGTCGGTCTCAGCTGAGCGCTTGGCTTGTTCCTCTGCTCCCAGCATCTGCCTCCTGGTCGTGTCCTCCTCGTACCTGGCGTTCCGCATCTTCCGTCTGGAGCAGCAGCTCTGCTCCCTGAACCGGGACTACCTCTCCCGTGGGCACAGGAGGTGAGGGATCCCTGGGGACACTTTGGGGCGGGTGGGTCATGCTCTATGGAGGACACAAGGTGCAATGAGCAGTGGCTGAGCTCCACGACAGGTCCCTGGGATGCTCTGTCCGTTATCCCATGCCTGACAGACCCCACAGTGCCATCCCCACGCCAGAGGCGATCCCGTCAACTGCTGGTCTGAGCGACTGTGGGAAGCTCTGCTGTCCCTGAGACTTTGAACCTCAGGAAGAAGTTTCCTCATGGGTTTGGGGCTCTCCAGTCGTAGGAGCATCAGGACATCTCATTGGAGCTGGGCTGTGCTCTGGGGCTAATGAGACCAAGGGCATCAGCAAGGGATGGACAGGAGTGGGATCTCCTTGGGTTAGGAACATGGGAGAAGCACTGGGATGGGTTATGGAGCCTCTGCAGTCACTGCCCCATCTCACCCCACTCCCTGCTGGCAGGTGACTGTTACCCTGGTGCTGGCTGAGGACGGACTCCAACGGTGACACCCTGCCTGTGGATCCCGGTGCTGAGACCTCCCAGCTGTGACTGTTACACGTGGCCCGGCTTTCCCTCGGCCGGTAAAATGGGACCAAGTATTTTCTCTTTTCCTATGGGCACTTGCTCCCAGCAGGACTTCCCAGCCAGCTCCTGGCCACCGTGCCAACTCCCCATCCCACTGGAAACCCGTTTTCTCCCTGGGACGCTGCTGTGCTGTAGCACTGAACGATGGCTCGGGGCTGCTGAGCGCTTGGACCTCCCCTTAGGACTTGCTGCTAAAATGGACGCCAGTTTTTATTCCAGGCTTGGTTTTTTTCTAGTTGAAAGACAACCTTAGGCTCACCAGGAACCCCCAAAAATGTGGATGAGTTGCTGTTGCTGCCCTGGGTGAACCCACCTCTTTGTCCCTGTCTCAGTACCCCTGGGAATGTGCCCAGAGGAATGGCCCCAGATACAGGGATCTGTGGGGATGGGAGAAAGGGGCCACCAGCCCTGTGGGGCATCATCTATCCCACACCCAAGGGTGAGGGTCCAATCCAGGGCCCCCCAGCCTTTCTTTCGTGGAGCACTGGGCCATCTCAGCATGGGAGGGGGTTTTGTGTCCCCTGCAAAGCACTTTAGGGTCCCCCAGACTGGGTGACCACCCCTGACACTGGGGCCAGACCAAGGCTTCGTTAGTCCCGCTCGCCTCGTTAAGATGTCTGGAAAGGAGCCCGTGGCTGGCACCGGTGAACGTCCCGGATCCGGGCCCTGGTTCGTGTTAACCTTGTCACCACGTGGAGCCGAGTGCCACAGGATTTGTCCCTCAGGATTTGTCCCACAGCCTCCCCCCGGGAGCACGCTGGGGCAGCAGGTGAAACCTGTGTGATTCCTTTGGGTTTTCTTTACTGTTTTTTGGGAACTACAAGTGCTGATGGGGCCAAATCCCTGTGCCCTGGGGGAGAGTTTGCTGCTCGCTCTGGGCTCCGAACGGCTTTTAAATGAAATGAAAATGAAAATAAACCCAGGATTTTCTAGCACGTGGCTCTCTGCCAGCAGTGTCCTCACAGTGGGGATGGGCTGTGAGCCCCAAAACGAGGTATCCCAAAATCTGTGCTGTCCCAGAGCCCCTTCAGGACATGGGTGACGTGGGGACAGCCCTGTCCTCGAGTGGTCCTCTCAGGGCTGGGGATGCTCCCGGCATAGGGGACAGGGATGTTATTGCACTAGGTGGCAGCAGAGACTGCGGGATGGGACACGAGCCAGTGGCAGGGCCACCTTGGGGACAGCGTCTGCCTGGGGAGGGAGCTGGGCTGCAACCCCATGCACAGGGTGGACAGGATGAGCCTTCCTCCTCCTCCTCCTCCTCTTTCTCCCTGAGCATCCACAACCCCTCTCCCCAGCCTGGCTCATGCAGGTAAATGGGTGAAATGCATGAAAATGGCCCAACTTGAAAGCCACAGTGGTGTTGGCTAAGCGGGGACTGGGGTGGTGTCACTCATTTTTGGAGGATTTAGCACCCTGGGGTGCTGAGGGGGGTGATCTGGTTTCTTCAAAGCTCTGGATTTATGGGGCTGTCGGAGTCCTTGTTTCTGTGGGTGACCTGGTGGGTAAAAGGCACCGTCCCACCCCTGCCAGGGACTCACCCAGCTTGTTTTCCTGGTGCTGCAGCCCAGATGGGTTTGGGATTGGTGCTCAATGGGTTCAACCTCAAAGTGGGGCTCTTGACCCCGAAGCAGAGGCTTAGAGGTTGAGGACTGGGTGGGTTTTGGTCCAGTGTTCCAGCCTGGTGGTTTTTGGGTGCTCCACAGCAGGTGTGTGGGGTCCCTTGTCCTCGAGCCAGGAATGTGACAGTGGTGACAAAGAGCTCTAACCCATGGGTGCAGTGACATGGAGGAGGCTTGGAGGAGTACCAGGATGAGCTCCCAGTGTGGTGTGGGGGGTCCCTGCTGCTGGTCACTGGTAGCAAGGCTCCAGTTTTGTTTCCCAGGTGGTCTCTGCCACCCGATTGGTGTGTGTCACCTCTCCCAATGATGCCCTGCTTGAGCCTCTTTGTTTTCTTTGTGTAAAGAAAAGGCACATAAAAGCCTCAGGTGCAGGGAATGTCCTCAGGTGCAGGGAATGTCCCTGGGCACTCACCTTGCTGGCTTGGGAACAGGGCTGAGGAGCACAAGGTGGTGCTGGACATGCACAGCCCCTGCCCTCAGATCCCCTCCCAGATCTCCCCAGTCACCCCCACCATCCTGCCTTCCTCCCTCCCCTTGTCCTGTGCTCCTCCCCAGCCCAAACCAACCCCTAAAAATGGGACTGGAAGATTTAACTGGCTGAGAAGCCGCTGCCAGACCCTGAGTCACAGCCCCTGTGCTGTGGCACTCCATGGGGCAGCAGGAGCCATGGCATTAGCAGGGACCTGCACAGAGGATGGGATGACTGGCAAGCACATGGTTTGGTCTGAGTTTTATTCTGGATTTGGGAGTGGCAGTGACGTGGCTCCAGCACAGCCCCTCGGAGTCCAAGGTGAATCCCCTTTAGCCAGAGGCTTGATCCCATTTGAGCTCCAGCTGAGCAGGTTTTCCAGGGAGGGCTGGTGCTGGAGGGATGCCCTGGACCACTGGCTGCTCTCCTGTCAGGGCAGTGTAGGAGGGAGGGGAATGATCCCGACCCTTGTCTGGCCTCACCGCTGCCTGTGAGGGTCTGGTTGGGTGTTTTGGGGGAGCCTGGGCTGGTTTCTTGCTTTTCTCTTGGCAGCAAGGGAAGGTTAAGCCCTTCATCCCCTCGGTGCTGTGCTGCTGCACACACCGGTGGGGCTGGGCTGGTGAGGAGCTCCGGGTTAAAAACAATCCTTCCCCCTTTCCTTTCCAAGGGTTATATTTAACCCGGATCTCCCTGATCAGGTCGGTGCGCTGGGGTGTGGTTGCTCTGCCAGACACCACCTGAGCAACCTGCTCTTTGCTTCTTACTGAGTGATTATTCCTTATCCTGCAATGACATCTCAGTTCAATTTTTATTTCCCCCCCTGCTAAGCTTGGCTTTAACGAGAGGATCCACTCCAAGATCCCGTCACCCAGCACGGGAGGGGAAGTGTTTCAGTTTGAAGTGCATTAAGGACTTCAAGGAGCCCACAGTTATCTTTGGCTTTTATACCTTGAGAAAGCTCAAACTCTGTCCTTTTGTTCTCCCTGATGTGGGGTTTTTTATCTCAAGTAATAGAACTGGTTTTGTCTTAGAGGCAGCAGCAACACTAACGAGGGTTGGGGAGCACTGACAAACCCTCCCTGGATGGAGATGACCTAAAATCCTAATGAAAAACCCCAAGCTTCAAAGAGTGAGTGTTGCTTTTCATCTCAATTAAGTTTCCTTTCCTAAGATTGGGTTTCTCAGCTTCCTGTTAATCTTCCAGCCATTCAGAGTCGGGTTTTAATTTGCAATAAGAGCAAGCAGGGGTGGGGGACAAAAAAAATGCAATTGCTGGGCAGCCTGGGAGCACCAGGCTGAAGAAAACTGACTTTGGTTTTGCCCTGTTCTTTAATTAATCCTAGCATTTCCTTTGGAGTCTCATCTTTTGACATCTCAGTGTCAGGTTTTCAGGGGCACAGAATCCTGGCTGCTAAATCCCAGACTGCTCCAACACCACTAGTGGGAGGCACAGACTAGAAATAGCCACGATAAAGCACTTGGGGGCTTGGGTTTAAAGGGCATTTGCTAAACCTGGCTTGGAAGGACAATGCCTGGAGCCAATTAAAGCCACCTAACGAGGGTGTGCTGCCTGCTGGGCACAGGTGAAGTCTGCTCAGCAACCTGGTTTGCCACAGCAATTAGTGTAAAAATTCATCATCGAGAGGGTTTCTTTGAAAGCAAAGTGACGTTTGTCGTTAGAAAGGCCAGTGATTCCCAGAGGGGACTAAGGCTTTTCCCACAGGGAACGGGGTGTTTGGGGGGTGTAGCCATGCTGGAGGGGTTACATTCTTCTTCTTTGGGACAATCCTGTGCATGGGCATCTCCCTCAGGCACTGGGGTTGCTGCCTCGAGGACAGGGCAGGCAGTTTTTGGGGGGGCTGGGGGTGCATCCCCATCACTTCTGTGCCAGTTTTGTGATGAGAGCTTTCCACTCGGATCTCTTCTGCGTGATGTAGGAGGGGGTGAGGAGCTGCAGCCCCGGCTCAGGCCGGCCCTGGCAGTACCCGTGGCACAGGGCCTCGGCGTTGCAGATCACGTACATCCCGCAGTCGTAGCTGTTCTGCTGCGCCGGCGCTTTCTCCTCCACAAAGGTGGCTTTGCCCCCTCTTTTGCCCAGAAAGGCCTCCAGCTTCCCTGCCACCTGCCTGGCATGGGCAGAGTTGCACTTACTGTGGGAATCGTAGTGGGCGAAGCACTTCTTGTCCCTGAAATACACCAGTAAGCTCCAGTGGGTGCCCCCAGCGGCCTGGCTGGAGTTGTCATTGATGGGCAGGAACACCAGCTCCTTGTGGAGAAGGTCCAGCGGCTGGAGGAACACGGCTATTTCCTCCTGGCTGAGGGCACACTTGATGAACTGGGCGACCTCGGGGCCGATGAAGCACACGCGGTGGCCGAACTCCTGGAACTGCTCATTGGCGAAGTACTCGAAGGCGAAGCCGATGATGTGGTCGTTGAGCCAGTTCGGGGGCTCCAGCAGGGCCACGTCCGACTGCCTCAGCAGGCTGTCCATGTAGCTGAGCACCACGGGATCCATCCTGCGGCACTCTGGGGACCCGCCAGAGCTGGAACAGAGAAGGGCAAGAGGAGTTTAGGAACTGGGTCACACCTGGGACACAATACAGCTCAAGAAAGCTTGAGTGCCTTCTCAGCAGCAGCGAGACAGAGCCCGGGATTCCCAGACAGATATTTGAAGGACCATCAGCAGACAGGGGAGTGTCAGGCTGAGCCAGGCTCTTCTGAGCTCTAGGTTAGATCAGCCTTTCACTGAACCTCAAAGCAAAGGAATTTCACAGCAGTTCCTGCTTGGGAACACACACACACCTCTGCACAGAAAACAGACCTGAGCCAGGAGAAGTCAGATGGTGTTTGTGTGTTCTGGTGTTTCACCTGGACAGTGACAGTCACAGGAATTCTTTACATGACTGGTATTCCCTAAATAAAGCCTTTTTGGGGCTGTCTGACATAGGGCCCCTCTCACTGAGCACAGAGTGCCCCAGCTCTCTGCCAGACGCACGACCTCTTCCAGGAGAACCTGCTGGGCCACCAGCACGGGAGGCACAGCCATGAGTAAGGAGTAACAAAGCAAAACAAGATCACAAACCAACCAGTTTCTGACCGTGGGAATCTTTAGGACAACTCTGCCTACTCAGATTAGGATTTAGGAGGAGATCTTCCAAAGAGAAACTTGCCTTAACCCCCCTCTGTCCACCCTGGTTCTCCTTATGCTCTGACATCCCCCAGCTCTCCCAGGCTCCTCAGCTGTGGCAATGCACCCTCAGCCCCTCACTGCTCTCCTGGCCAGGATGGGGCTGGTAATGCCACATCTGGGGACAGCGGTGACGTGGAACTGATTGGGCCTCACCCTTCCCTCAGCTGCGCCAAAGGCAGCATGAAAACATCTTCAGATTTCTGAAAGCCCCATGTGAAAGCTCAAAACGATAAGGTCACTTTAATGTGATTCACTAGAAATAAGTCACTAATTTTCCATCATGACAGACGGAAATTAAAAAAATGGAGTGTTTTGTTGTTTACGTGTCAGGAAGAATTAGATCAGAATCACGAAAAATAACCTCTCCTGGCCTGGGATGCATAAATTAGGGATTCATCTCTCAGAACTCTTGGCCAGGTCCCAGGGCATGTGACGAGTAAGGAACAGAATGGATGAGACACGGGGCCTGTGGAACACTTCGGAAGGAAGGGCTGAGGTGAGTGTTTGGGGCATGACACAGCCCGTGAGAGAGAGAGAGTGTGTGTGTGTGTGTGTGTGTGTGTGTGCCGGTGGATCCCGGAGATGCCAAGCAGCAGGAGTCACCAGAGGAAGGGAGCAGCCCTTGTTTATGCTGAGCCAACACAATGGTATTTGGACACGCTTCCGACCTAACGAGCTCCAACTGTTTCCAAGTTCGTGGTGCAAATCCTTGCACTATAAAAACAGAAAATCAGAATGAAATCCCAGTAACTTTGTAGCATCCCTCAACATGGTCTGCTTTAGAGCTGGACATCCTCCAAACATCCAGTTTGGGGGTTTAACAGGGGCAAGGCTGAAATACTTTTACATGTGCCCATAAAATGCCCCGAATTCTCCTTTACAACGTGTTCTTTCTGCTTCATCTTCTCCTGGAGATGTAGAAGTCCAGCAAATAGCTTTCCACTCCAGTCCAAACAGGATTAGGGGCGAGGGAAGTGTAAGTCCCGTGTTCTGTTCATTTTCCACTCTGCAGAAACATCGTTGGGTGTTTTGTTTTTTTTTCCTGTCAAGACATTTGGCAGGTTCCTCCAGTCAGGAAGGAGAATGGTTCTAGCAAGTGCTTAATTGCCACGAGCTACTACTTTTAATTTTATTGCCATCTGGTATTTGTGAAACTGCCTGTGGGTTCTTCAGGATGACTCACCACATGCAGCTCCAAGGAAAACCCTCGGGAGGCTTCGACGCCCCGTCAGAGCCGGGGCAGGTGAGTGGCTGGAACAACAGCTGGTGGGGCTGTCAAAAGCCATGGAGAGGTGGCTTTGTTTGGGAGAACCTCCCATTAAAGCTAAAGATGGAGCTGCAGAGAAGCCAGGATGTGGAGCCAAGCCTCTCTGATGCCGAGGGGGGGTTGAAATCCCATCGTGGACTGGGAGCAGCTCTGCTCAGCCACAGCCAGGACTCGCTTCCTGAAGGCCCAGGCACACTCTGTTCAGGAGTTTTTGTAAAATCAGGGATAAATACACAGGCCAGGAACCTTTGCTGTAGGTGCCAACAAGAGTCTTGCTGGTTTGTATCATTGGCACATTAGTAGCTGGGATTTGTGCAAACTCTCTGGAACCCTCAGCTCCTCCGAGGGATTTCAGCTGCCCCCTTTCCAGTGCTGAGATGAGAACACTGGGGTGAGAGAAAGGGGCATTTCAACACAAATGCCATAATTTCATTTATAGATTTGAAAATGGTGCTGTCTTGCCTCAGTAGGGCAAGAAGTCAAGTTTCCCTCATTCACAAATAAGCTGCCCTCGCTGGTGTGAGTTCGATCTGAGAACTGAAGGGGCTCCTTTGGGTCCAGGAGGCAAAGCCAAGCCTGTGTTTTCCAAGACTTGACAAAAACCCAACCCAAACCTGTTATTTTCACACCATTAAATACAACAACCCTCTGCAGGTAATTGCTGAAGGCACTTGAGGGCCAGGGAATGAGACTCCCCAGTAATTGAGCATAAATAGGCAGTGGTGGAGCAAAGAGAGCATGCATTCAGGATGAGTCAGATTCCTAAAGTCTATTTTAGTAAATTAAAGGTGCTAAGAACCTGCAGAGGGAATAGTTTAAGGTGACACATCACCAGAGTCCTGTTCCCAATTTAAAGAATATGGAGGTAAATACCAAAAATCACCTGGAAGATAAAAAATCCAGACTTTACCAGGGAACAGGAGGGACAAAGATCAAGAGTAAAAGGCCACACGATTTAACCACCACACCATTCCCTTTTCCTGGAAATACAGGCTTTAGACACCATGTCTTGAGAATTGTTGTTAATGGGAGTGAGATTAGAGAAGGAACATCTATTTCCAGTGGGAGCTGGGCTGGGTGACACCTGAGCCTCTGGATTTTTGTGACTTCTGACAGAGCCAGAGAACAAACTCAAGGAAAATTAAATAACTAAACCAGACAAGAAGCGCAATCGTCTCCTTTTTTGTTAAATATATAATCAATCTCTCTGTAGCTGTGGGTTATAATTCCTGTACAGGACAGAGTCTCTGGGGGTCAACAGGTCCTGAATGCCGAAATCAGAGGAAGACATTCCCAATTATGTACACACAATGCCCAAACCTCTCCATTCCAGACAAATTCCCCAAACGAGAGACATGCAGCTGCTCAGAGAACCAAACTCAGAACCTCTCTTGGTGTCACAGAATCTCCTGGAGCAAGAAACCAACAGCCACAGCAACGACAGGACGGGGTTGGCCAAAGCCTGGAGTTTACCAGGAACAGACCCAAGGAAAGGAACGGCTGAGGATGATCAATGGCACCGGGAAT